TTTTGCCGTCTCGGAGGGCGATTACAGGGGTTTAGGACGCATGCTCCCTGGTGGGGCGTGGAATTACTATGACGGATCAATACCTTCATTTTGCCAATCGAACAAGACTTGGGGGGAGGAGATTGATGATATCTACGCGCCAGTGAACCTTAACAACCAACACTGGATTGCTATCTGGATATCGATCCCGAACAGGCACATAGTCGTCTGGGACAACATACCTACCTTTGCGTCCGAAGAAGACCTCAAAGAGATAATGAAGCCTTTTTGCGAGATGGTCCCTTATACGCTAACCCAGTGCGCTACCAGCGACGAAATACGGGTCAAATACGGGATGGAGCCATACACATTTGAGAGAATTATGGATATACCCACGGCCAATAGTGGTGATTGTGGCGTGTACGCTCTAAAGTACATCGAATGTCATGCTCTTGGGGTCCCCTTTTCTAAAAATCATTTTGCTAGGTCCAACGCGAAGAATATGAGGGATAAGATGGCAATCAATATATTTAAGGAGCTTCCTGACCAGCATTTGAAAGAAAACAAGGATGCTGATAAGTTCGTGGGCTTGTATGAATAGGGTGATGTATGTAGTTGATCTTCATTTTGTATAGATTAGGCTAATGCTTGTATTTGAACTTGATGATGTGTTTGTATGATGGACAGCTTATCTTGTATATTAATCTTTTCGTTGTACAATTTGACAAAGATAAGTTCATTACACTTCATTAAAAAAGTTAATACATAGACGACTTAATTATAGGTCGTCTGGACGACTTAATTATAGGTCGTCTGGACGACTTAATTATAGGTCGTCTGGACGACTTAATCTAGACGACTTAATTATAGGTCGTCTGGACGACTTAATTATAGGTCGTCTGGACGACTTAATCTAGACGACTTAATTATAGGTCGTCTGGACGACTAAACAACACTAGACGACTTAAAGTTAAGTCGTCCAGACGATTACGTAACAGTGGACGACTAAACAACACTAGACGACTTAAATCTAGGTCGTCTGGACGACTAATCAACCGGTTTCTTACATTGTGGTTTCGCATGGCCAGTTTCCTTGCAGTTTGAGCATCTATAAACCCTGTGTTGCTTCCTGGGTTTGCGTCCTTTCATCCTGGATAGCTCCAACCAAGATTGCCATCTTGATTTCT